TGTGTATATATATATATATATATATATATATATATATATATATATATATTGAATATATAATATATATTCACATTACAGTGATGAGAAGCTTTGTGATGAAAAAATATCACAATGCAAAATTTTAAAGGTCCTAAACACAGGACTAATTTCTTTATGCCATTTTTTCAGTGTAAAATATAACCTGGACACTTGATCATGAGATCCACCCATAAGCAGCAGATTATGTAAAGTGGAGGGCGGCCTCACCTGATAAAGCTTTTGAAGGCAGCTGATTGGGGGTTGATACAGAGCGGTACCCGATTCCCCTTCTGCTGCTCCAGGATGAACTGATGAATGATCTCTGTGTGGGGAAGAAAATATGAGAGATGATGAGAAATAAGGAATAAATTACAGTTTACAGTTCTAAATAACAGTTTAGAAGTTATGTGCTATCATGGTTAAAAGAACAGTTCACAAAACAATTAAAACACTTCTCCTGTAGTCTTATTGAATAAAATATGGGTTTCGATTTTCGAATGACATGAGGGTGAGTAAATGATGACATGAACCAGTTAAAGGCATTTCACGAGTTCACACTTACATATAATTAAATAAAGGTTATGCGTATTTGATAAAGAAAATTAAGCTTATTTTTAGGACAAATACATTTTTGCATTACAACATTATTTTCATAAAAATTTATCACATTTAAATCCCTGCCACAACTGGCACCAAATCTCATTCTGACTTCTGAAATGTAAAATCAAAATTTTTAAAATAAAAATTAAATAACGATATATTATTTAAATGATAAAGTATATCTGTAAAAACACTGTATGTATACATACAAGCTGTCATACCTGTACTGAATTAAATTTATGTAAATTTATGCTGATTTTACTTATTAAATAAATAAATAAATAAATAAATAAATATATACACACATATAGCTGATTGGATAAATGGTGTAATCACTAATGATGAACTGGCCGTGTTAATTATCTGTGCGTGCTCCTCCCGAAATTTGTTTATAAACATCACTTCACGAGTTCACACTTTCGTATAATTAAATAAAGGTTATGCGTATTTGGCGTGCTGTCCGGGGAGAGGGGTCCGAGCTCAGCATTTAACTCGGACCCAGAGTGCCCCCCCCGAGTGCTTCTCCCCGTGCTGGGGTAGAAACTGGCTGAAGGTGCGGGGTCGGGGTGGCGGAGGGATGCTGAAAGTCGAGAGATAATGAAGGTAGGACGTACTTGGTTATTTATAGGAGTTTTCTCTTGTGCCGATTGGATAAATGGTGTAATCACTAATGATGAACTGGCCGTGTTAATTATCTGTGCGTGCTCCTCCCGAAATTTGTTTATAAAACATCACTTAGTAGTTCACACAATTTTGTCATCATTCCTTGTAACAAAAAAAGATGAAGTGATGTGACTCGCAGGATTTTTATCTAGATCTAGAATTTTGTATTTCCAGGACAAATCTAACTTATGAATGAAACACTGAATAAAGAAATCTATTCTAGCAGTAACCTTACAGGTCAAAGAGTCGATTCTGAAGGAGGATTCTACAGGCAGACTATACTATCTGTAATATCTTCTAAAGCTCTTAACTCTTTATTTTAGCATACAAGCGATTAAGCTTAAAACTAGCTCGGCCAATGTGGAAACTCCTCATGTGTCGATCCAAGAGGGGTTCCCCCCTCGTTCTAAACACGGCTGCCTACCCTAAAGCGCTTTAAGTCTCCAGGCGGTCGGCTCCATCCGCACTGACTAATCCTCCAGTGGAAACACGTTGCACACAGGATGGAGGAAGAGGAGGGAGGGTGAAGGGCAGAGTTATTTTGAGCCGACAGCACAGTAAGCCTGCTTTTAGCGACAGACTCTCACTAATATCCGCTGACAGTGGAAGGCAAGCACAGATCCAGGGGCCCCGAATGAAGGGTGAAAACAAGGGACAAAAACAACAGGAGCAGTGGGGGATCTGGAGCAGGAGACGCCCAGCAAGACTTCTGATTAACACGCGGTGGCATGACGGGCGCATGCTCTCAAATAGATTCAATTCAATTAAGACCTTTAGCTTCTAAACACGCTGTCTACAAACCGAGGGTGGATCAGGACAAAAGGTTAAATGAATAGACCAACAATGTGTGTCTCACGTGTTGTATAATATGTACAGCAATCAGCACAAGGTGTAATACAATTGAATTGATTATAAGCGCGCTCACCTTTGACCTGCCGAACTGACGTCAGGTTTTTCTCAAAGCCGTCATCAAACTTGGGGTTAGTGACAGGCTCAAAGTCACTGGTGTAGACGCGGCCAGAGGAAGTGGTGTAGCAGCATTTGCACATGCAGGTGTGGTACCGCAGACGCCCCTCGTCCAGATATGGGTGTGCCAGTGCATCTTTTGCAGAGATCCGCTTCGACTGAATTGGAAAACCATCCATTTTACAGTTTTATATAGGTAAATTTATTTTTAAATGAAATATATATATATATATATATATATATAAATTGCATATATTTCAAATTATTTACATAATATATATTTTCATTTTAGTAATATATAATCATATATAGTACATTTTTAAATTTTCAAAATGAAATGAGTATAAATTATATAAATATATATTAAATTATATAATATATTTTTACATTTAAATAATAATCATAATAATATATATGTATATATTAAAATAAATATAAAATATATAATATAATAAAAAATAAATACTTTTTTTTTTCATTTAGTTTCATTACAACATTGTCAAGTAAACAAAAGTGTGTTTTAAAATATGAATTTAATATGGTCTATATTGATGAATTTTAGCATGTAGTTTAATTTGTAATGTTCCACTACTTTAGATTGTAATGTTACAGTTTATGAGAATAAAGTATCAAGAACACTTACTGGGTCAAAGACCAGCATCCTGCAGAGAAGGTGAACGGCCTCATGGGTTGCTTGACTGGACAGAGTGTACAGGACAGGAAGTGAGGGCTGCAGGAAATGGCATGATCAGTATAGTCTCCAAGTATCTTACCCCTTTTACCAACCTTATACATAACATATTCAGAGATAGGCAGAAACAAAATGTAATCAGTGTTTCAATTTTTGAAAAGACCACAAGTAAAATTTTTAAAAACTGATATCTATCAACCATGTGACTAAACAAATGCGAAAACACTGTATAAAGTGTGAGAATGAACATGATTTAGAAACATGACCAGTTTTGAACATTTTTGAGAAGCAGTCAAAACATACAAACCGCTTCCTATAAGCACGTCATGTGATCCTGAGCGGCTGTTCAGCTGCACGTAACAGTCTCAAGCACGCAAGACCTTCCTCTCAGTAGCACTAGCACATGATCCTTGCGCCAATAGCCGCACACTTATCTGAGGATGTGGGACAGCGAAAACAATGTGCTGGGATATTTTTAACTGCGTCTAATTATCTGTCGGGCGAGAGATGGAGGAAAAGGATGGGAAAGGACTGAAAGCTCTCGGCCATAACTAGAGCCAAACGGAAACGAGGTGTGCTATTACTTTAAGTGATCAGACCTTCATTGAAGGAAGAATCTGAGTCATATCTAGGGACCAGAATATCATAAAGACTCGAAAGTGGGCAACATCTCAGATCATCCCATAAATTGCATAGCAACATGCTAAATATTACTCAAAACACCTTAGCGCCTACATAGCAACGTCATGGCTACTACCCAAAACAAAAGAGATATAATTATATTTATTTACAAAAAAAGGGAAATAAAAACAAATTCACTGGCAAATGATAAGATAATTTTAATAATATCAAAAGAAAATATAATATGCGTACACGCAGAAACTTTAGGCAGGTGCTCGATCAAATAAAGCACTTCACTATAAGTGAACAAAAATCGGCACATTGCCACTGCTGCTCCCAAAGATCAATTTATTAAAATAAAATATTACAATGAAATGTATTTAATTTTAATAATACAAAAATAAAACCTATTTTAAAATAATAAATGTAATAAAAATAAAATATAAAACTACTAAATATAATGTAATATGCTATAATAAAAATAAATATTAATAATTAAAAACATTAAACAAAAAAAATGCTGTTTTAAGTTTCACACTTAATTTCACACTACTGTTCAAAAGTTTGGAGTCAGTTAATTTTTTTTTAAAGATGTCTCTTATGCTCAAAATATAATAATATTGTGAATTATAAAAAAATATTTTAATAAAAAATTCTATAATTTATTTAGAATTAATTAAATTTAAATAATACAAATTTAAATATTTTGCTTATAAAAGTTTTCTGTTTAAATGTACTTTAAAATGTCATTTATTCCTGTAATGGCAAAGCAAAATTTTTTTTAGGAGACATTACTACAGTTTTCATCCTTAAGAAATCATTCTAATATGCTGACTTGGTGCTCAAGAAACATTTCTTATTATTATCAATGTTGAAAACCGTTGTACTGCTTAACATTTTGTATAACATATCTTTATTGAGATTTTACAAAAACACAACACAATTCATCAGAAAATACCCCAGGCAGGATAAAAAACAAACAAACAAAAAAAAAACACTACAAGCATGTATTGATTTATATCATGCAGTCCTCATAAACATTCTTACATTCCATAACTTCATGCATCTAAAGCTTCTTCAATCGCTCAATTTTTCACAAAATCCAAAAACACCTCCAATTGCTATTTTTCCAACATAGGGCAATAAAACAGGCACAAGTCCACAAGCTTTCTTTCTTTAGTAGACAAAGTATAAATACTCAATACACACAATACAGGACATAGAGGAATTGGAGACGAAGTAAATCGAGAAACATATTGAGTCAACTGCTTAATATTTTAATTTAAAAGTCTTTACTGTCATTTTTAAATAAATTAAAGCATCCTTGATGCAGTACTAATTGCAATATTAGTATTAAAATCTAACTGACCCCAAACTTTTGAACTGTAGTGTGTTTGACTCACTAAAAAGATCCACCTCATAAGAGTAATTTATTCAGAAATTAGTGCACATTTTCTGTACTGTACAGTTTTAATCCACTAAAAAAATAGCATATAAGAGCTATACATTCAAGAATCAGACTAGATTAGTTGTGCCGTATGATTCTAATATACTAAAAACAACTTGCTCCCTATTTGTGTTGGAGTATGTGTGCCAGCTGCTAGGCTCCTCTGACAAATCTGAAAGATTATCAAATGATGGGCGTTTGAATCCAGTGGGTCAGATTTTGTGTGGGCCGAGCCGAAACTATGCCTGTGTGATTATGAGTCAAGAAGCATGCAGGGTGCAGCGATGCACCAACGTGCTGAGGTTGCGTGAGCGTATGTGATTAAGGAACCATAGTGGGCAAGTTGTTGGCGGAGTAGTTGGCAGTAGTGTCCAGTGTGTGAAGGATCATGCCCTCTGGGGTGGTGTGATCGTGTGCTGTAGTATTAGCCAGTATTAGTTATGGATTAGAGGGGAATGTGGCTTCAGACAGTTAAGGGAGGGAGAGGGCCTGTCCCTGTCCCATGATGCAAAGCTCAATTAGACAAATGATGAGTCAGGAGGGTTGACACATGACATCATCAGCCCCGGCTTTCAGTCATCCCAGGCATGCAGGCAGCTCATCTTCCGCCCTCACATTTCTGACAGCGGGAGCAATGGACTAAGCAAATTTGCTACTTTAAATCCTAAACAGGACTGGTCACACTTTTAAACCTTACCAATGGATGTCACAAGAATTTGAGCCAGTATTAGTGGACTGAGCCTCAGTATATGACCTGACATGTGAGTTTTATACCAGGTATAAATATCAGGTGCAAAACATCAAGTTTCAGGTGACCAGTAATATGCCTGTTCACACAAAAAATGGATACACAATCGATATTTTATGTTTAATTTTATGTTCTGCGGGAACAATGAGATTTCACTGTGGACGGGCCGATCACCGCTACATCAGAGACGCAGACAAGACGTGGTTGGAACAAAATTTACAAGAGAACCAAAACAAAAAGATTTGCATGGAAGAGGTTTACTCTTACTCATTTATCATGTCACATCTGGTTAGGAAACTCTAAAAGACTAGCGGTCAACTAAATTTCAATGGGTGGTGCAGTCATGATATTTAGAGGTCAGTGTGACCAATGTCTGACATATTATACAGTACATATATACAATATAATGACAACAAATGAGATGCACAATGCTGCTCAAATTAAAAAATGAATTGAAAAATTCACCCCTGAAAACAGAAACGTTTACTTAAAAAACACTTATTTAGCAGTATTTATTAAAATTCTTTAAAATATTAAAATGTATTGTTACATTCATATTTCTTATGTAGATATACTATCACAATATATTGTTATTCTATGGTATATAGTATATATATTGTTATTTAGCACTATTCTGTTATTTTGCACATACTAGTGTATATAATGCCTCACTGCTTTTCTCTTTGTTGTTTATATCTATATTTGTCTATTTCTATTCTGCCAATCCTTGTGTGCTGCTAAATAGTTTTTCGTTGATTTTAAACAATGACAGTAAAGATCTATTCCTTCTATTCCTAAAATTTGCAGTTTATTAAAAGAAACAAAGGCTTATTTTACAAAATAGTTACTGAAAATACCCTCCCCCTCAAAATGAAGTATACTATTGCATAAATATTTTTTGCTGAAAATTCACAAACATGAAAAAAAAGTTTATTAAAAGAGTACTTCAAAAATTCACATAAAAAATAAAAAATAACATTACCGTTCATAAGTTAGGGTCTGTAAGAGGTTTCAAAAATGTTTTTGAAAGAAGTCTCTCATGCTCACCAAGGCTGCATTTATTTTAGTAAAACAGTAATATTGTGAAATATTATTATAATTTACAATAACTGTCTATTTTTTTTAAATTTTAATATGCTCTAAAATGTAACATTCCTGTAAATGGAAAAGCTGAATTTTCAGCATCATTACTCCAGTCTTCAGTGTCACATGATACTTCAGAAATTATTCTAATATGCTGATTTCGTGCATAAGACACATTTCTGTTTATTACTGTAGTTGAAAACAGTTGTGCTGCTTAATATTTTTTGTGGAAACCGTGATACATTTTTTTCAAACTGGAAAGTTCAAAATAAAAGCATTTATTTGAAATAGAAATCTGTTTGTCTTCATTGTGACTTTTAATAAATTTAATGCATTCTTACAGAATAAAACTATTAATTTATTTTCAAAGAAAAAATTAATTATATCGATAGACTAATACATTTAGTCAGAGGTGAATGACAATTACTCTCTCTAAATGAACAAAGTTGCTAGAGTGTCACTTTAAGGTAAAACCAGCTTTGATTTTCCTCTTCCTAACTGGCGACACAAGCCCAGGCTGCAGCTATGAAGGGAAGGAGGAGGAGGAGTCTCGAGAAGGTTGAGAAACAAGTCCCGGCTTCCTGTGAAGCAGAGCCCATGTGACGTCCGACCGCCCCACTGGCCCAGCAACACTCAGCAACAGGTGCAGGCTGCAGCTTTCCCTAACTGGCTCAGCGTTCCTCCTTAACCTCCCCCCGCTCGCTGCGGCTGTGTGGTCCGGGCCATCTCTCCCCACTATCACAAACAAGCCATTGATCATCCTGGCAGCAAAACAACACAAAGCCCTTCAGGCCCACAAGTGCAGGGAGAGCACACCCCGCCGCACCCCGCACCTGGGAGAGGGCCAAGCGAGGACAGACAGGTGGATAGGACTTGTCTGTTTGTTTATTTTTGCAGTTAGCACGCTAAAAAAAAAAAGCAGGGCACATTTCCTACGGACACGAGAGGGGGAGGGAGCGCTGATATAGGAGCAGGCCATTAAACGAGCGAATGCTGACAGAGACAACAGTGATTCCAGAGAATGCTGAGCTGTAGAGCAGCTAACAGACTTCCTTCTGTATACTCCGAAGAATCTGAACAGTGTGTGTGTGTATGTGTTATAGATATCGGGTCTTATTCACTAAAGCCAAGTACACACCA